GAAAGCATGGATTTTATTGGACTTCTTTAAACCTAAGTCTTGATCCCGGTCTTGTAAAAACCTTTGAAGTCTTGGTCTTGATCTTGGGTTGATTTTTTGATATCTTGGTCTTGTTCTTTGTCTTGAAGCATTCAGTCTTGGTCTAAGTCTTGGTCTTGGCCTTTACTGTCTTGACTACATCTCTGCTAATTAGTATGCTCATTTAGTAGTACTTCTAGAAATTTAACATATTTTAATTTAGTTTTGTTAACTAAAACATGTGGAAATTAAATGTTAATGAATCTGATGATTTTTTTTGGAAAAAAAAGGTTAGTCTTCTATTCAAGGAAAATTTGTTAGTCTTAAACCAATCACTTAACTTTTCAAACTCCTGGCTGACTGTGTTAAAAGTAGTGGTATTATTTAAGCGGCATCTGCAAAAGTTTATATTTTGTTGTCATATAAAATTTATTTAAATAGCAACCAAAAAATTTTGATAGTTTCTTACTTATCATGCTTGTATAGAAGGATCTCGCGGTCCACTGTATTAAAAGCTTTTGACGGATCAATAAATATTGCAGGAGCATAATAATTTTGGTACGGAATTAAATAATTCGTATTAAGTACGTAATAGGTTTGTACATGGATAAAGTAGAATATTAGAAAAATTTTAAGTGGTCTGAAAAAATTAACTTTTTAATCAGATGTAAAGATATAGAGTAGATGATATACAATAATGTCTTAGTAGGAAAACCATTATGCGATAAATAGCTAAAATAGGAATTATTTACACTCCAGAGTATACTTGGTGTTTCATAAATAATTGTTTTCGACTGTACTTTTTGTAACGACTTTAGTAGAACGCACGACTTTTAGAAAGTAAGCTACTGATGAATATACATAGACTACCAGCAACCACACATACACACCTATACCAGCGCATACACACAACATACTAACAGCACATAAACACCCATATATATACAAGCATACATACATAAATTCATACATACACAAATACACATATACATATATACTTATATATATATCCTTATATCGTAGTCAAAAAAGACTTTTAATGTAATAAAAAAATCTCTTTTGACTAACAATTTTGCTACATCGACAATTAAGCTACATTCGAAATGTCATAGCAATTAAGTTAATGCGAAAGTACATTAATTTTTATCTTATAACTCGTCTCCTAACTTTCAAAAAGCTGATCATTATTCTTTAGAATCTTTGTGCAGATTATATCCGATGGATATCTGATGGTGCAAAATTAAAAAATGCAAAAATGTTTACAAATGTTTTTCAACCCCCTTTATTAACAGGGACAAAAAAAAAATTATAGAGCTTGGTAATATTCCAAGTCTGCATATACTTTTAGGTGTTGTAGACAAAATTTTAAAAGAAATTGAAAACAATTTGTTTGAAAACAAGGAGTGTAGGTTACAGTTTGTCAACCGATATTTGTCTACAATAAACATCTGAAGAGTATCCTACCAAGGGCAGCATTGTTTAGAATGCTTGCAATAAGTTGCTTAAAAACATAGACAGCTTTGAGATGTTTTTTCAGGAATCCAGTCTTGGAGATTCCTTACCAAATACATTAAGGTAGTTAGAGATTTTGAAAAAGTATTCCATGGCTGTTATGGAAAACTATTAAGCTCTACTTATGTCAAAGATACAGAAAAGTTGTCTATGAGCTATAGAAATCTAGGGGCTACAATTCCTTTGAAAGTACACATAGTTGAGCAACATATCATCAAATTTATCAAAATGAAAGGTGCAGTCTTTGGTATGATAAATAAATTTTAAGTTTGACAAAAGATTAAATTAATATTATTTAATTATAATAAAAGTAATTAAATACTTATTATTACAATAATACAACAGTTTATGCAAGTTAAAACTTGCGTAAACTATGACGATTATTCATTAAATAGACTAAAACTTATTTTGTGCATTTAATATTCTGTACGCTTAGGTTACTGAACCGAAGAGGCTCTGGAATCCATTCACCAGGATTTCAATCAGTTTAGGCGAATGAGAAAAGTTAGAGAACACAGCCCAAACTATATTGAAGCGCTAAAAAACGCAGTTGTTGCTTACAATTACAAACACTTTTAAAGTAGCTTTCAATTTGCAGGTAGCTCGTAAAAAGTATAATATAAACCTCTTATGAACAATTGTTTAACATAAATTCTTAATAAATGATATAATTATATATGACATGCAAAATATAAATAGTTAATATAAAAAATATAAAAATAATAAATTTTTTTTTTACGGCCATAAAGTAGTTGTAGTTAATATTGGACCCCTAATACCCCACCACTAGTGTGGTTCCCTCTCAGATTTTTTCAAACTTTTTTTGTGTTATATCCAACTAGATCAAAATTTATCAACAGATTTTATCTGTCGATAAATTTATCAACAGAAATTTCATCAAAAAACAAAATCTAGTTTAAAAGTTACGACCATTCAAAGTTATTTCAGAGGGTAAATTTATGGAATTTTGAACGTCTTATGGTCATAAATCTTAAACGAAAAGATATTTTTTGATGAAACTTGAACTCTGTTAATAAATTTTGGTCTAATTTATGATAGAACTAATAAAAAATATTTATTAGCTTAGGAGGCGTAGTTCTAGGAAGGGGGCAGTTTGAGGTCGGGACGGGGTTGGGTTAGCTCCATTTACCTCAGCTTTTTGCAATTTATCCTCATTTGATACCATTATTAACATACTAAAAATTTGAGTATGCCACATAGCTCTTAGTTACCTATCTTGAACAACAAAATTACTAGGCACTTGCCTAAAATACGTGATTTCCCCGTAGGCCCCCGGTGAAAAAAGTTGTTTTTTACATTTTTGAAATAAGGAAGAGTCTTCTGATAATAACAAAAAAAAATATTATGGAAATGTGTTGCAAGGTCTCAAAGCATCTTTCTAAGCACCATGATATGTAAACACATGCATATCTATGGATATATGTATACACATACTTTATAATTTATTTTTTTTTATTTCCACAAAGTCGCGTTATAAAAACCGTGATGATTTTTTTTTTTTTTTTTTCAAATACTAAATAAAAAACCTGACAAATTATACATACTAGCAATATAAAATACAAAGCAATATACAATACGAACTCAAATAATATATATTTATACATTTATTCATAACTATCAGTTTCAGAACAATCTCAATGCAACTAAATACTTAGGTAAACTCAGTTTTCATAATAGGTAGACAAACATCCTGCCCAAGAAAAATTGACGCTAGGCGTGAATTGGAGCCAAAGTAGGCAGCCCATATAGGCTGCGTATGTGGACCCACATGGGTCCCACTTTTTTATTTATTTAAAATTTTTATATTATTTTGAATAGTTATTTATTTTTAAATTAGATACATATAATTTAATATGTAGTCATAGATATATGACTTGAGTCTGGCTTTATAGAAGTAAAAATGGAAATCAAATATAGGAGGAAAAAGGTAAACAGTGATAAGCATTAATAAATATACCACAGTATTTAAATAATAAAATAGTAAAAGAAATAGTCAAGTAAAGTAAGTATATTTAAACATTGAGTTTAACTGAGGCATAGTTCAATTGTCCTCTTCAAGACGGGTCATTTTCTTTTTTACATTTTTCTTGTGGACTTATAAACTCAAAAAGCTTATACACTTTAAAAGACTTTTTTATACATAAAAAATTTTTTTTCAGCCTTTTAAAACTGAATTTTTTGTTTAAGCTCTCTTTAATGTTTAAAGAAATAATTTTTAAAATTTAAAACTCTTTTACTACCACTAAAACATGATATTGATAGCACTATTACGGAGTTTTTAAAATGATTTGACTTTAAATAATAAGAAGATTTTTCGAAAAAGAGATAATTTGAATTTAGTTTAAAATTTCAGAAAAGCTTTGAGACGTAATTACATTTGAAAAACGTAAGGGGGTATTCATAAAGTGCGGTATAGTAATTTTTAAGTACCCTGGTCTTTGTACGGAATGAGATTGTTGGGAAAAAAAAAACGATATCAAAGAAGATATTAAAAGTCGTACGCATTTATTGTATTTTTATGTCTCTTAAAGTACGTACGCGTTTTTTAACGAAAATGAGAAACCACAAGCAAATAACTTTGAAAATATTTTTATATTTTGGGGACTTTATTAATTGTGTTGTGTAATTCTGTAAAAAAGTGTTATAAAAATCCATAAAAAAAAAAAAAATCTTGATATAGCCACTGTATATATCTTTATTCAACGAAATTTAAAACTATATTATTTTTCCAAGACATTCATAAACCAAGTCTTTAAATAAACATGCGGCTAAATTGAGTTAAGCGATAATTTTTTTTACTGATTTTCCACGATTAATAATGCCCCATTATCGCGCGATCGGACGGCATTTAAATTTAGAAAATAAGATGGAATTTAACGCTTTTTTAACTACATATATTTGCCTACATATATTAGTCCTTAAATACATAGTATTTTGTAATTAAGGGCTAGTCCACGTGGGGCCCATATATAAAGCCCACATAGGGTCCACTTGGGCAAACCCATATGGGTCACAATAGGACATGTTCAACTACCAAATAAAAACGCCAATGCCAAAGCAACTTTTGTGTTTTTGGTTTAAAAAAATACTTTTATAAAATTACTTTTAAAAAAACTTGATTTAAAAAAACATTTGCAATTTCCTACCTCTGTATTTAACAAAAAATATGCAAAACTATGTATTCCCCTTAAATTGACTTTTATGTCGGAAGTTATTACTACTTTTTCATAAAAAAAACTTTATAAAGGAATATGTCCTACTTTGATATCTTTTGGCCCATATCCACGCCAAGCTGATCGTGTTTAGATTTTTACACCAACAAATCGTTAGTGCCTTAAGAATACTTGAAAAGCAGACATTTTCAAAAAACAAACGCTTGGATTTTATATCTTACTTAAATAATTAAAAATATCAATAAGAATGAATTTTAAAAATAAAAATGCAAAAACTAGTGAAAATTTATTTAAATCTATATATTGTATATAAAACATGAGATGCAGTCATCGTTTTATATATTTTATGCGCTGCTGAATGCTCTTGAACTTTTAAGAGTTAAACCTTTGACTTCGGAGCTTTTTGAAGTGGATAAAATGAACCGAGCAATTGAACCGATGAATTGAACCATCGTAACCGTTAATTGTAACCATTGAATAAATTGCACGAGTGAACTTTTAGATTTTATCGAGGTTTTTATCGATTTTATCTCATTCTGATAAACAGCTGTTGAACGTTGTTTTTATTTAGATAAGATATATATGTATCAATATTGCAACATTATTTCACCAATTGACACAATTGTTGAATTCATTGAAACGATGACTAGCCAAAACAACCCCCGCACGAAAAATGATGAAGCCCAATCGAAATTAAAATGACTCACTTTTTCTTGTAAAATATTTATTAAAATCAATACGAAGTAACAGCTGGGCCAGATGAGGGGAGGTCTGGTGAGAACGAACACTTGACAAAATTTTAAAAAGCACCGAGGTTTGACGATCGAAATCCTTAAAAAAAATTTAACTAAAACTTAAAAGCTAAAAAAATACTGAAATTATTAAGTATAAAAATAAAAATGAAATTTAAAACAGGAATTTATAAATTAAAATTTGAAAAACTAAGCAATACATCAAACAATTATAAAAAATTATAAGTAAATTTAACAATAACTATAAGCAGATAACCATAAATCAAATATTTGATTACTTATACTAAATAAATAGTTGATTTAAAGTATTGGACAAAACATTTGCAACCAACATCAAACAATGCTAAAAAGTGTTCCTAATTTTACGTCTTAAAAACGAAACGAACTATACTACAACAGCAAACAGTTCAAGAGTCTGGAGTCATAGCATGCCATGACATGAGCAATCAGCTGACAGGTGACAGCACACAGGCAGAATTTCGTTGACAAATACCATTTTGCAGCGGACAAAACAAGTGCAACTTTTTTGGTTTGTTTCATTTTCTTAAGTCTGGTCCGTGTCAACGTCACGGAAGTTTTTAAATAATTAAAGGAAGTACCCAGAAGTTTCCAGAAGCATGCAGAAGCTTCCAGAAGTTTCCAGAAAAAGCATTTGGAAGCATCCAGAAGTATCCAGAAACATTCAGAAGCATCCAGACGCATCGAAAAGAAGCATCTAGAATCTTCCAGAACAGGTTCACACAGATTCATTTTACTATATAAGAGACATGTAATTCAGTCAGTATATGGAAGTCAATCAGTCAGTATTATCAAGTGAGTTTTATCAAAGTGTTTTATCGAAGAAAATCAATACAAGAAGTGAAATACAACAAATGTTTCATTACATCAATACAGTCCATATTCAACCAAGACGTTGTGTTCCACAGAGCATTATTGTATCATCACCAAGTAAATGTAACACTGTAAGCCTTGAGAAGCGTGATTATTTATTTTTATTTTTTTATGACTTCAAGTGCAAAAATGGCTCCCGACAGTTTTGGATTGGAACTTACGTGTTTGTGATAAAGTATTTGTGATAAATATCGCGTGAAAAAATGGACCGTATCAAGACTATGATTCAAATATCGTTCTACGGGGAAGTTGGAAGTTGGCAGCAGATAACAAAGGTGGAAGACCGCGTTCCACCACTTCTAGAGAGGATTCTATGATCGTCAGATCCGTCAAGAAGGATCCCTGGATATCATCAGTCGAGATACAAAAGCAATTAGAGCTGCCTGTTTCGGACCGAACAATCAGACGACGTGCTGTTGAAGCCGGATTTTTTTCTTGATGCCCTGCAAATAAACCGCTGATTTCACTAAAGAACCAGAAGAAAAGACTCCTGTTTGCTTCATCTCATATTGACTGGAATGTGTAGAAATGACGAACTGTCCTGTTCAGTAATGAATCGAAGTTCAACATCATTGGGAGCGATGGCATTTGCCGTGTACATCGACCCACCGGAAAACACCTCGATTTACGTTAATGCCATAAGACCATGAAACATGGTGGAGGCAATGTAATGGTCTGGGGGTGTTTTTCTGCTAACGGTCTAGGTCCAATACATTGAATCAATAAAATAATGGACCGTTTCATGTATAAAAATATCCTAAAAGATGTTATGTTACTTCATGCTGAATGGAAAATGCCAATAAAATGTGTTTTTCAGAAGACAACGATCCGAAACACACTGCAAAAGTAGTCAAGCAGTGGTTTCAAGACAACCACCTCTCGGTGATGGATTGGCTGCCTCAATCTCCGGATCTCATCCCTATCAAGAACCTGTGGAAAATCGCCAACCGCAGAATTAATCGTGAAGGTGTTCGTAATAAGGATCAACTGTTTGAACAAATCCAAAAGGCCTGGGCAACGATTCCACAGAGTTTCATTGATAACCTGATCGAATCTATGCCTCGAAGATGCAAGGCTGTGATCAACAACAAAGGATTCGCCACGAAATATTGATAGCGAAATACAGCTTGGCCAAAATTTTGTGGAGTTGCACTTGTTTTGTCAAGAAGGAAATTAACTTTTTTTAAATACTTTTGATTAATTTACTAATTTTCGTGTACAAATAATGAACTTTGTGATGCATAAAACTTGAAGAACGTTGTCTCTAAACAGTTACATAGTTATTTCTCTAAATTGAAAAAATGCGGCACTTTAATGTAAAGAAACTAAATTAGCATTATTTGGTTGCACTTGTTTTGTCCGATACTGTACATAAACAGATAAAATGGTTTTTATTTCTAATTAAAAGTTAAATTAAACTACTACTAAAGTGTCAAACTTTTAATTTTTTGTTATTTTTATGATGGTAAGAATCTATGGAGTGCAATAGCAACAATACAAGATAAGTATAGTTGATAACATTTAACTAAAGTTGAATTCAACAAAAAAACTAAACACCATTTCGTTAATGTTTCTATTGTGGAAGAAATTACTTCTGCAAATTATTTAAAAAGTTAATCTTAAATTATTTTTAAATAAGATAATCCAGTTATAGAGGTGATTTTGAACCATCCCTAGATTCTAAAAAACATGAACAATTTTTTCTAACATAATTGAAACTCTTTTATTTAAAGACATTATATGATGTTTCAATGAATTTTACTTATTTTAATTTTACTTTATTTTCCTACTAATAAAAAAGATCATTTAAAAGTGAATGGCTCATCTGATTTTCTTGCTGATTCAAATAAGACAAAGCTATTCAAAGAAGACGAAGCTGATTCAAAGAAAATGAAGCTGATTCAAAACATGTACTTTGTTAGATCTCACTTCAGCTACAGCAAGGGGCTCACAATGGCTAAATAACTTTAATAAAACAATTTTTTACAGCTAATTATTATTGCAATAATTTTTGGAATTTGCTTCCTTCATCTTGTTTTCATAATTCATTTAATTTGAAATCTTTAAAGTCGTCTGTCAATTGTTATCTTGCTCTATAATCTTTTCTCTTCCAGTAACTTCCAACTCTAATAGTGATTGCTTAAAGCCTTTTGAAAGTAAAGATGTTAAAAAAAAAAAAAGGTGTTAATATTTAAAACAAAACAAAAGTATCTGGAGTAATATCAGAAATCTGCAGTATTAAAGACTTTGCAATACTGTGCTGTTTGTGATTTTAAAAATGCATAACTTCTTCATTGCAAGTCCAAGTTAAATTTTATTGAGTTTGATTTAAATACTTCTCATTTTTTTGATAATCAAAAAAAATTAGTTCCAATAATCATAAGTTTTTTTTCTTAAAAGACATAGTCTTGCATTTCCTGAACATTGTCATGATGCCTAATATTGCTCTGATATATGGGAATCATCTACACAAAAAGTTAGAGTTAGTTTTATTTTTATTTGAATTTTCATGCTAATACCAGTGATCAAATTTTAGCTAATATTATCCAATAGTTATTGAAGTTTTTCCTAATATAAATAATGCTTTCTTTATAATTGTTTTCTTTATATTTGTGAATGCGAAAGAAGAATTTCAGTTATGCATAGGCTAAAAACACACTCTAGCAAGAATATGGTTGTGTCTTGCTTTAAATCTTTACCATTAATGTTCATACACTGAGAAACCTTTCCAGATGTTGAAAGAGCTATTAACATAATTTTAAAATTCTAAAAAATAAGTCAGTGAAACCTTTGCATATTTAGCTTAATCATCAAGAAAAGTATTTTTTTTTTTTCATTATTAATTGCTTGTTTTCTTCTTTTTCTGAAAAACTATTTGAATTCAAGATTATTAAACTTTTAAGTGTGCAAAATATATTGGGACAGAGCTGATCTAAACATGCAAGATATACATACATACATACATACATACATACATACATACATACATACATACATACATACATACATACATACATACTAAAAGCCAACCTTTATTTTATATTAAAATTCAATAAAAAATATAAGAAAAAATTATAAAATACTAACCTTAGGCAATATTAAAAATAGTTTTTATAGGCTGCTTGTCAAAAAGAAATTGCCAAAATTGAAGGCTAACTTTAGGCAATATCTTTTACATAAACTTAAATCAAGAAAATGAAAGCATCCAGAAATGAAAATCTTTCCATTTCTGTAAAGATTAAGTTTCAAGACAAAATGACAAATGAAGTACAAAGTCCTGTGGCCAAAGTTTTTATTGGTACACTTCATTTAGCAATTTAGACATAGAAATACATGTTTAATTTATGAAGGTAATAATTATAATTAACTTTAAAACAAAAACAATCAAACCTAAAAAAAATCAACACCAAAAAATTGGTTTCTATGGACCTTATTTAAATATAATTTAAATAAGGTTCTTAGGTTCATACATAAAAACTACATAAGTAAATCTCAAAACAATCTAAACAATAAATAGTGGAGATTTTAAATTTCCATCGAAGATTCAGTTAAAAAATTTCATGATAAACTTTGTGCAAATAAAGAATTTACTAACAAATTACAAATAGATCAATTTAAAAACTGTTACTAATATAACTTAATGTATATTTTGAATCTTTTTTGATACCACCTGATCATAATAGTCATGCGTTGCAATGTTTTTTAAATTTAAAAACTTAACTACTATTTATAAGATTTGTGTCAGTAAAATAATTTTTTAATTACTTATAGTATTTTTAAAATTATAAATCACCTGAGTGTACTGTTGTGCTGTCTCCAGATCATCATCACTATCACGATTAAAAGAAACCAATTCACAAAATTTCATACAAATCTCAAGCACATGCTGCAGAATAGAAAGCACCTGTTTAACATAAAACAAAAACCATATCATCAAATTTTTTTTTTTTTCCAAAAAAAAAAACCATATGAATTTAAGTTAGCGAAAAAAACTCAGCAAATATTTATCTATAAACGCTATTGTGTTTGTTTTTGTGTATATATATACATATATATTTATATTTATCTATAAAAACAACTGTTTTTTATATGAAAACAACTGTTTTATTTAATATTGGCTTTTTTCGTCCTATACATGTTTAAAACATTTTACATGCTCTAATTTCTTTTCAAGAAAGTGCTATGTAAACTGATTCCATTCAACCATTATAATTTTTCTCTCTTTGAGCAAAAAGAAAATCTTTATTCTCTTGAATTTTAATTATGCTCTAGGCATAAGATGTACAACGTCAAACAAATTTATCAAGTTCATCAAAAGACTCTGCCTCATTCTTTTTCAGTCTTTCTGTTTTACTTCAACTTTATCCATTTTCCATAAAAATTTTTAAATTTTGATATGGCACAATATACTGGTTGCATACAGATAAAAGCTTTATTACAAAATATTACTACAAGAGGAGACCGGGGCTAGTTGCAACAAAACTGCATTTATCTCTTATAACTTTCTTTTTTTTTAATTTTTATCAGGGTTATAAAATAGATCTTAGTGGCGTACTAAACCAACATTGATAAACATAATATAAAACTTAGTTGTTCCTCAATAGTGAAACAAAAATAAAATAAAAATGTTGCAACTTACCCTGCACCAGGGCAAGTTGCAACAGTGAATGGGGTAAGTTGCAACACAATAATTTAAAAGTATAAGCCTCGCAGAGTCAAAAGAAAAATTACAAGTTAGTCGGTAACTTCTATTAGGCAACAAAAAAATATATAATTACATTAAAGGAAAGTATTTTCACTGAGCTGCAATACTTTTATTATGAGAGAATTCACATATACCTGACTTGTTTAGTAAACTGATGTTTGTATTCTAAGATTTTAGAGAAATTAAACAAGAAGGATTATTGTTTAAACTAATTTATTATTTTAACTCCAAAATGTTTCTGAAAAAAAAGTATTCACTTATTCAATAAACATTAAATTTGTTAAGAAAAATGCAAGAGAAGATTTTAGGATATTTAAGTTCTGTTTTTAGAATATAAAAACACAATAGGCAATTTGTTAAAAAAAAATTAAAATGTTAAAAAATAAAACAAATGTTAAATAAAATTTCATTAAAACAAACATAAACCCAACTTAGATCTAAGTTATCTATAACAACAAATTTCCTTGCAAAAACATTCATTAAAAAACAAACAAGTATTAAAGAAATTAAAGAATTACATTTCAATTCAACAAATTCTTAAATGTTTTGTGTTATTGATGTTGAAATATTAGGAGATAGTAAAATCGGCATTAAAAAAACGTCGATTACTTTAGAAATAACTAAAGAAGTGCACAAAAACAATAAAACCTGCATTTATTTTATGATTCAACTTACCCCAAGTAATTTGTTGCAACTTACCCTGCAGATATCATGATCACTCTAATCAATGTATATAATTATTTATATTAAACAAATGTAACTTTTGAAAAATCTTTTTGTATTTGAAAAAGATTGTTTTAACTTACCATTATTTTATTATGGCCATAAATCTCTAAGTTTATAGTGAAACCCAAAAAAGCTTCGAAAACCAAAATTTGAATTTTATATCGAAAAAACAAAATTATCAATAACTTGAAACTTTTAATTTATTACTGTAAGTTTTTCTGTGGCTATATATATATATATATATATATATATATATATATATATATATTATATATATATATATATATATATATATATATATATATATATATATATATATATATATATATATATATTTATTAAGTAGTAAAAACATATCTAATTTTTAGTTGTCTTCAACAGTATGTTTCACCATCAGTAGATTCATCAGGAAGTTTCCTGATGAACCTACTGATGGTGAAACATGCTGTTAAAGACAACTAAAAATTAGGTGTGTTTTTACTACTTAATATATATTTATTTATATATATATATATATATATATATATATATATATATATATATATATATATATATATATATATATATATATATATATATATATATATATATATATATATATATATATATATATATATATATATATATATATAATCATAACGCATAACTAAATAAAAAAGTACTTACTGGCTTCATGGATATAAATGATTGCTGCAACATAGTGATAAGAAATGAGTCGTGAGATTTATGAATACTTTCAAAATCTCTTAATTTTTTAATTTTTTCCAACAATAAAGAAAACTGAGATTCCAAGACATCGACCTAAAATAATTATAATAGCTGTAAACCATCATAACAAAATTACCACCAAAAAATGCAACAACATTTAAAACTACTACAACAATAAATATAAATCAAAATATAATAAATCATCAATTGATCAAATCAATTTTATTTAGAAATATGACAAATTGATACCTGCAAATAATATTGGAAATTATCAACAAAAAAAGCCATACGACTTCGAAGAGCCCATAACACGCTAGCAGATTTTTTTTTACTCAATTTGCGCCTTGATGTCATCTGAAGGCACCACACATTCTGAAGTTCAATTTGAGTCCGACGAACTCGCAATAAAAATGTAAATAATGCCCCATATCTTTAAAAAATATAAATAATTAATTCTATAAATTCTCTCTTTCTCTCTTTATATATATATATATATATATATATATATATATATATATATATATATATATATATATATATATATATATATATATATATATACATGTTTACATAAATTTTTATATTTATATTATGTTATTTCCATATAAGTTACATAAATTTATATATTTATATTATGTTATTTCCATGTTTTCAAAGTGCTGTGAATTGGTAAACGTGTAAAGCAAGATTTGTCAACCCTGCCAGCCAAGTCACTTACTGCAAAGGGTTACAAAGCAGTGTTTTGTGTCAAACTGTTACTGCTTTAGGTCTAGGTGTTTTCAAGCCTTTATTAATAATTATTCTGAAAATGCATAATGTATTTTAATAACATTTTGCGTAATGTTGTTACTGATGTTCTGTTATATATGAATGTTATGTTTCTTAAGTTATGTTATATGCATATTATATGAACTTATGGTGAATGCTATTGTTGTTGCATTTAATCATTCACTAAAATTAATATTTAAATTCACTAAAAGCCTACTACTACTACTACTACTACTACTACTACTACTACTACTACTACTACTACTACTACTACTACTACTACTACTACTACTACTACTACTACTACTACTACTACTACTACTACTACTACTACTACTACTCTGGCAAATCACATCAGCTTTATCAGGTACAATGATTTCTTTTTTTTTTGTATGTAATTTTTTTCTAATTTACTTATTTGTTACATTTTTTATTTACCAAATGATGTATTTATGTGGTATAGAAGAACAAAATATTGTTAAGTTTTGTGAATTTTTAAAAAATTTTTACTAATATTTTTTTCAAATAAATAATATTGAAGTTTGCTTAAAAGGGTTTTACTACGTTTTTTTTTTTAATTTTTCTATATTAGGAGTTTTTATTTTATTATTTTTAATGCAAATATCTATTTTTTATTATATTATTATTTTTTCTTTAGATCTAAATTGGAGCAGCTACAGACTATATTGCTCCCAGCACCCAGGACCACTCTTTGAGAGATCCTTTAACAAATGTTGCAGTAATAATGGTATGGATAAGCCCTCTTTCAAATGGAGGGCTCATCCATACAGGGGTGCTGGGAGGCACCAAGTAAAAAATAGCAACAAAAAAAATTTTAATATATTCAATCAGTGAAGATATTAACAATTTTTTTGTTGCTGTTTTTTCCTTGGTTTTTATTTTCATTAAAAATATATATATATTCTAAATTATGTTTGTTTTTATTTTTTTAGTATTTGTTCAGATAATTATCTATAGTTTTTATTACTTTAATTTTTGATTCACAATATAACATGGCTATTATATTGCTTCGAATATATACCATATCAGTTAATCAGTTTTGAAAAATTTATTGATGTAAATAAATTTTTTTTTTTTTTTTTGATAGACAACTTATTTACATCAATAAGGAGGCGTGAACTTTCTATTAAATGCTTATCCACGGTGCTCTGTGGTAAGACCTTGAGGACTTCTTGGAGCACCTAAAATAAAATTAAAAAAAAAGTTGTTGAAATATAAGAAATGCTGCTCGGCGAGCAGAAAACTTACTTGCCAGAATTCAGTGTCAAGCCGTGTTAATGTGCGTTTATTTGATTTTATTTTAAACACTTTAAAACAATTTAAATCAAATGTTTTAAATTTAAATGATTTCAAATTTTTTTATAAATTCAAACGTAATTATGTTCTTTTTTTTTAGTTGCCTTTGTTATCACTTGATTAGTTTGCTTACTGTTGAAACATGGTTTTAATTTTGTAAATTTAATGATATGAAATTTACTCTATTAATCATTAGTTGACAGTTAAAGAGACGCTGGAACTTTACATAATAAAAGTAAAAACAATTTTGTTTACACTTAGATAAGAGTTAAAAGAGAATTAGTACATGGAGCATCAATAAAACTTATATAATTACTTTTTAGTTAAAAAAAAGTAATTATATAAGTTTTATTAATGCCACAATTGATAATGACCATGTATAGAAAATATTTTATGAGCTGCTTGGTAT